TTCTTTAATGTCTACTTCTATCCCGAGATTTCCTTCATATATGTCATTTATATATACTACCCTTTCTTTTTTCATAGGTTTTTCAAATTTCTTGTACCTTTGTTTCTCGTATTCGATTTGTTCCACTCTTCTCACTCTATCGGCTAGCTGAGCCATATCATTCAACGGTAAATTAACTAACTTTTTCCTAATCGAAAATTCTAAGCCTACAGAGGCCATTCTGACCAATTCAAATTCGGGAATTTGAGTATAACATCTCGACTTCATTTGTCTGAATCTATTCAAATAATCATCTACACTTTCATGACTATGTCTCTTTATATTCATTAAGTCGATAAGACTTACTTGTGTCTCCCCCCTGAAGAATTGCTCATGAAAACTTCTTTCCAGCTGTAACCAATTATATATTGAATTAGGTGGCAACGACGTAAACCACGTGAAAGCATTCTTTGTTAATGAAATAGGAAAGTATTTCATTTTTAATTCCTCACTCATCGCTAGGTCTCCACATTCGATTTGATATCGCGCTACATGTTTGATAGTAGATTCGCCAATTTCTCCAGCAAATTTGGTGAATTTAGGTATTTTGTATCCTCGTGGTAATTCTGTCTCGAGAATCGTATTTGGAAAAGGAGAAACAAAGTATGGTTGATGAGGTGATCTTAATTCTACTCCTTGGAGATTCATCCTTTGTCCCAACATATGATTATACTGTATGTTATTTTGATTATACGCATTTTGAAATCCCTCATTCAAATTTCCGTAAGCATCATTCCTCACAGGCTGATATTCATTTCTTCCATGTTGATGATGATCATTGTTTCGATTTCTCCTTAATAAATAAAGGGGATTGATATTAGCATTTTGATTAATATTCTGATTGGTATTACCTTCGACCCTCGTTTGTCGGGGTATTGCTAAGCATCCCCGATACGTGTCATTTGGTCTGCTAATATCTCAAAACTAGTGGTAGTATTTTGAACTAATGGGTTTAGAACCGTAGTCAACTGTTGTGATAACATGTTAACCATCTCAAAATTGCTTTCGTCCATTTGTTGTCGAAGTACTCCTAATGAGTTACTGAAAATTCCAGTACTGGTGTTTTCGATAGTCTCAAAATTAGATCGATGATAATCTCTATTGAACGTATATCTCCCGTGATCCAGGTTTGCCCTATGATCTAAGTTTGATATTGGAGGTGTCTGTTGTGTTCCTAAAGTCTGCACATTCCCTGAATTATGGGGTGTTACTAAATTTTGAGACACCCCTAAATTTGGGGACACTCCAAAATTTTGAGGCATTCCTAAGGTTTGACCTGTTCCTAAGTTTTGGGACATTCCTAGGTTAAATCTCGTACTTCGTTGTATTGAAGAAGTACCAGCCCCGTTCATATTATTAATCGAAAAACCAGGCGGCCTTACACTCATATGCGGACCTGCATATGTTGTTACGGGACTTCCCATGGTTTGTATAGTATTTGACATTACAGTTCCAGACCTATTATCTGAGCATTTGCTAATGTCCCTTGATTTTGTTCAGGACTCACTGGAATCGACGCACTCACAGTTGTCGACATTACAGACATAATTCCACTGTGAACTTGCCCCCCAGTATTTGGTGGATTTGGACTATTAGGAATCTCACTATTACCCTGACTATTTGGTGGATTTTGACTCATTCTTACTACTCGTCCACACCTTAGTCTCATACACTCATCGAACTAGCCAGACTTTATGTATAATACACAATATGCCCCCTACCTGGCGCGCCAATTTGTTTCTGGTGAAAATTTGATCGATTTCGATTAAATTGAGACTTAGGTTCTAATCAAATTTTAACCACGTAGATTCTTTTTATTTAGGCTAGCAAACGATTTTCAATCGAAAAATGCATGAGAATCGAAAAATAGTGCAAAATATTAAATTGCAGAAAAATGTAAAAGTACGGAAACCTCAAATTTGCGTTAAATATAAAAGGGCAAAGAATCGAAATTGCGGAAATGTAAATAACAATGATCTTAAACGCATAACCTGAACTTATACCAAAGTAAACGACAGGAAATCGAAAAGATAAAACTTAAAGTTTGACAAACGTAAACTACAATGAAAGTAAATTACCAGGAAAAATAGAGAAAGCGATAAAGATAATCAACTAAAGCGAAAATCCAGAGCATTAGAAACTTCATGATGTGTCGTTCTCCTGTAGACTGTTCACTTGCGCTTCTTTTGTCTCTGCCAATTTCCCTTTCTTCTTCATACTTCATTCTATTTATAGGTCCTGATTCAACGTAACTTTCTAAGAGCAGTTTAGAAAACTGTCACCACGTTCCATGTGCACGTACGTTAACTATCTCTCGATTTTTATCTTAGTTGCGGCTTTGAGAAAACCGTTTCCCACGTTCCATGTGCGTGATAACCGTTCTTTTGATCTTGACCTCATCCATCGAGTATTTAAAATTTTCTGGCTTTCCATTTAACTTCATACTTAATACCTTTCATCGATTTTTCTTCCCCATGATCATCAAATTTCTTGTATTTCTTTCTATTCTCGATTTCAACTCTCGAATACGATTTTCCTTGACCTATTTTATCATTACCTTCATCGATTCAATTTGTTTCTTGATTTTCGATTCCCACTTTCGATTTACGCGTTCACACTAGTGGTCACCGGTATCTCCCCACCACTCATGCGATCTTCAATTTTTCTCTTTTGTTTTTCGATCCTTGTATCGATTTTCCACTAAAAGATATAAACACTTTATATTGGATTTTATTTCTCTTTTTATTACATTATAATTATAATATAATTTATAATCTATTTTTTCTTTTTATTATATTATAATTATAATAATTATATATATAGAGATTTTTTTTTTCAAATCGAATATAATATAACAGAAAATCCAAACCCAATCAAGGTGAGATTTTTTTATCAACGTTGAATTAGGTCGTACAGCGTCAGCATGTTCTATTATCAAATCTTACCACACGTTGAATTAGGTTGTATTGAATAAATATCGTATTTTCTTATTTAATAAAAATTTAACAACATTTCATGTAAACACTTTATCAGGCTTTTTTACTAAACAGGTTAAAAAATTTTGATTTTACTAAAATCGATTAAAAAATTTTAATTTTCCTAAAATAAGTTAAAGCGTAAAGAGGAAAAACGATTTCACTTTCAAAATAGTGTGAGAAAGCACGATCTTCACTAAAATTGTACTTCCTACCACATTTTTTTTTTTAAATCGTGTTTCTAAACATGATTTCAGTTAAAAAAAACGTGTTATAAAACATAACTTTCTCAAAAAGACATTTTTTTTTATTTTTTAAAATATATTATTTAATAAATAATTATTTTTAATTAAATTATTAATTTAATACAAAATAAAAATAATTAGATAAATAAGATTAAATTTAATTCATTATATTTATATTAAAATATTACATGTATATATATTATTACAAAAAAAATTAATGGTGAGATATTATTCCACAAGGTGGTCTTTTTATTTATCGTCTTGGTCTACGTGATTGATCTTGAATAGGCATTTGTTGTACTTGTGTAGTACGCATACGACCCTATGATAGTTGAAGTTGAATGTTTGCTTGCCTATTATCATCATCATGCGTTGAGACATATCAGGAAGACCTACAAATAATCGAATTCGAAATAAAATAGATGTACAAGTTGAAAATAAACAAAAAAAAATGTTCTTTTTATCAAAATGAAGGATATAATTGTGCAAACGGTCTATTTCAACAATAAATTTATATTTTTTTAATAATATAATATTTTAATATAAATGTAGCGAATTAAATTTAATCATGTATAAATAATTTTGTTTTCTATTAAATTAATAATTCAATTAAAAGAATTATTTAATAAATAAATATTTAAAAAAAATAAGAAATAAATCCTATTTAAAAAAAAAACAAATTATGTTTGACTCATATTACATAACATTACATAACATGTTTTTTTTAACTATGAAATCGTGCTTGAAAGCATAATTTCACAAAAAATAAATAAATTGGAAACCACTTTGGAAGCACATTTTTCAATTAAACTTATGCTTCCAATTACAATTAAAATCCTTTAAGTCGTTCACCCTTATACCATTTAGTCAATTTTAGTAAAATTCAAATTTTTTGACCCTACGTAATAAAATCCAAAGTTTTTTAACCCTCTCATAAAAAAAGCTCACTTTATCAACATTTTTTTATCTTTCTTCCAATTGCATTATAATTTTATATTAAATTTTATAAATAATATATATATATATATATATATATATATATATATATTTAAGTGTGATTTGATGACCATTTATTATTATAAGTGCTTAATTATGTATATTTTTAATGAAAAGATAAATATATTTGATACACCAATCAAAATTAAAAATAATTTATATACATTTTTTTATCTTAGATATTTTTTAAGGATAAAATTATGATAAAATAAATTTTTAAAATATATGATAACTTAAAATAACAATATTAACTAAAATTAAAAAAATATATTTATATTTAAGTCCACCAACACATTCTTTTTAATTTTTTACTTATATTTGAGATTAGTCTGTCGAAAGTAAAGAATTTATTTACTTATATCAAAATATAGGTTACTGTCGTCCATTGAATTACTTCTCAAGATTTGAAATAGAGAAAGAGATATCGACACGACAAGATGTACTTACATACAATTGAAAATTGTTGCTCATGTGAAAATTATTGCATTAAAATTCAACATGTAGATCATTAGTGTATTACTTATGCGTACTAATTACTTATTTAGCGACATGATTTCTCACGTTAATGTGATTACGGGGGCAAGTTCAAAGATGAACTACGTAGTAATAATAATAATAATAATAATAATAATAATGTATTTAGAAACGTGAGGAAGAATAGATGTATACCAATGACGATTTTCAATATTATTATTGTTAAAGAAATACAGCAAAACAACAACAAAAGCGCCGAAATAGTTTTTGTCTATTGGATGTGCACCCACATTGCCTTGCCAGGCAAGCCACGATGAACAACGAATAACAAGTAGTAGCCAGGGGGAGCAATCACATTGGATGGTGGAGCCTCTACTCTGACCCTGTAAAACCCTACGGTGTCTGTGATGAACTCGTTAATCTTGAGAAACAAGAGCCTTTGTCCCATGGAGAAACCATGAGTGGTGAAGGGTGGGAAATACATGGACACCTTAAGATCATTCTGGTTCAACCCAGCTCCATCTTCCACCGAGAAACTAGTCTCAAACAAACTACCATACGTCATCTCTTTCTGCGAAGCAGCCTCGTTAATTTGTGGCCTATACACGTCAAAGTTGGCATCCAAGTAAGGAGGAGAGAAAGCCTCAACTCTAGTCTCAGTTGGGAACTTGTCCACGTCCTTGTACGTATTGTGTGTGTTGCTTCCAGAAACCCAAATCTTGCCACTGGGAAGCAACGTGGAAGTAGAGTGATACATTCTCGCAATCTGGCTTGGCTTAAGCTCTCTAAACCTCAAACCTTTGGGATCCTCTGGTGTGTACAAGACAGGTGTGTAGTTAGGCATGTCAGCATCCCACCATGCAGACGTACCCCTTCTTGCACCATTGATCAGCAACAGTTGCCCATTAGGGAGCAACAACAGGTCTCCCATTGTTCTCCCTGAAGGCATCATCTCGGTCTCCCACTCAGGATAAAGCTCCGTAATCACCAACCTGTCGCCGTAATCAACAATTTTCATATATATAATTCTTATTTTCTCGTAAAAGTTTACGAATAAATTTCTCTTTGAGATACATGCATGCATATGTGATGTTTAATGTGTAATACCTATTACAGTCTTGAAGAGCGGGAAGGAAGACTTTGGTTGTCTCGGCAATGTGGAAGGCGTCGGGAATGTTGCCGCCGCAAACCATGATCTCAGCCTTGGTGTTGGGGTCGTTGAGGTCAATGGGGAGGAGGGCGGACATGCCGGAGGCGGGGTAGTTGCGGGAGCCACCGGGTAAGACGGGGAAGGTGCGGACGATTTTGTGGGAGATGGGGTTGAGAAGAAGGGATCGGTTGTTGGCGAAGATGAAGAGGTTACCATCAGTGGAAAGGTGGACGAAAGGGTAGAGATTGTTCTCGTCAAAGTCTGAGGTTTCGTATAAGAACGGGAAGAAGTAGGGTTTCTCGCTCTTTTGGCCTTCTCTTGGAACGAACTCGTAGCTAAATGATTTGCGTCCTCCTATCAAAAAGAAGTCTCCATTTGGAAGGATTTGTTGAGTTGCATACCTATTCACAAGTTTACACAAATTTCAAATCAATTATTTCTTTTTGTGAAAATGGTGCTATTTCAAATCAATGTAGTACGTAGTTAGATAGCTAGTACTAGGTACCATCTATCTGCTGCTAGAATTTGGTCGTATTCCCTCCATTGACAACCTTGACAGTTAGGACCCATGTATCTAACGGTTTTCGCACCGGTGTTAAAACCACCAGTACTCACGAAGGTACCATCAGGTGCAAGCCCTCCGCTGGAGCACCATGGATCTCCCTGTGCTACCTGCGCCCAAGTTAATCCTTTTATCATTAATTATTCTTTCAACCCTTTATTTGTGAAATGAAAAAGGAAAAACTTACATGACATCTTTGATGCAAATTTTTATTTAACAAGTCACGTGATAAAACTCTAATAATGATAACAGGACAACAACATAATTATCTAAAAAACATGGAAATGACACAAACCTGGAGTGGCCTAACTTGGTTTGTCTCGATGTCGTATTCGACTGCATGAGCAAAGCAATCGAATTTGTCTACCGTAGAGCCCGGATCTCTGAATGGAACGCATGGCATCCCTTCGGGTAATCTAATTCTGGACGTGCGGTAAACTTTGGCATCAAAGACTATGATCTTGTTTGTGGGTAACAAGTTGATGTGCATGGCTGAAACACCCGAATTTTCCGAAATCAGATCCCAGTGTCCAACAGAATTTATTTGGAAAGGACCCTTGGCTTCTTGAGCAGGTTGTCCAACTTGAGGGAAGGGAAAGGGCGGGAAGAAGGGAAAAGGTGGTGGCTCAGAATAAAAGGGGTTTCGAGGAAAGGCTGGATCCTGTTCCTGTTCCTGTTCCTGTTCTTGTTCCTGCGGGAAGAGAGAGTCGTGGGGCAATATATCTGGAAGATGAACAAGACCATGTTTTTTTTTGTGCTTTTTTTTGTGTTTAGCTTCGGCCACAGCAAGAAATAAGATAGAGAAAATAAAAAGAATCTTGAGTGGGTTTGTCATCATCATTGGTATAAGTGAGGAAGTTTAACAAAGGAAGCACCAGACACCAGATATAACCCCACGCACGGATTGTTAAGCCCGTGCCTCTGGAGTATGGTTTCGGGTTTCTGGTGATTCCTTTGTTAAATTCTTCCTAATTTTCCCTTCGCATGCTCGATCTTTTTATATTGCTGGATCAAGCATTTATAGAAAGGAAAGATTCATCACAAGTTTATGATGATCGTGAGCTAGCTCAAAGCTCGATATATCAATACAATAATATATTATTATTATATTAGTATATCAAGTTGTGAGTTGATTGAATATTTCATCAACTTGTTGTTAAATAATGAGTTTTCTTCTTGAAATAGAAAATGGTTAAGTGGAGCCAGCTGAAATATAGTTATACTTTCTTTTTGAGTTGTAGTGTAACATAATGCTGTAAAATTGTAACCATTAAGTTTTTTAGACATATCCCGTTCCTATAATTTCTGTTTCTATTAATATGTGTTGTTTGAAGGTGTAAACAAGATGATAATTATTTCCTTAGTTAGACAAAAATATGTGCAAAAAAAAATTATAATAACTTTTACATGAAAAAGAAAAAAGAGAAAAAATATATTTGATAAAATAGTTTATACACTACAAAAATAAGTAAATATTAATTATATGTAGTTAGTAATATTGAAAAATTATTTGTTAATCAATATGTAATGACCAATTTAGAGATTAATTTCTCTTAGTAGTCAGTTATTGATGTTTAGTAAAAACAAATTAGAGATCTAATAATGATCAACATTTAATTAAAGACCAAATTAGTGATCAACAAAGACTAAATCAGTGAATTGATTATTATTTCTTGGTGACCAATTCAGAGTGAATTGAAAAATGATTTAATGATGGAAAATTTTATATATCAAATTCATGATCAAGAATTTATAATTTCTTTTCTAACATCATTCAGATAGATTGATTTGATCATGTAATTTAACAGTCATCCAATCAGTCACTTATTTAAGTTCTTTTTTAAATATATTATTTATGTTTATACAAGAGATTTAGGGTTGAATTAAATGATCGAATCACTCGTTATAATTTAAATTTTTAAACTAGTATATTGTTTGAATTATATTTAGTGCCGAATTAATTTCAGACACAATGTCATATATATAATCCATTTCCAAAATATATTAACTTTGATTTTAGTGACTAAGATGCTTTTGGTCATTAGACTGGTGTCTGTTAAAATATGTTCCAGTGCAATTTTATATTTTAACTTAATTATTTATTAAGATTGTATTAAAAGTAAAAAAAATGATGGTTTAAGCAAATCTGTAACTTTAAACTTCTTTATGATCATTATACCAATGAATAATAGAGTGTAATCTCGTATCATTAATTAATAAATTGTAACATTAGCGAATTGAATATTCAAATAAATTTCAAAAATATTACATTAAATAAAATTAGTACCCCCTTTTTTTAACCATCTTACCATTTATAGAACAATTTTCAACTCAACTCTTTCAAATTTGAACCATTTAGTATTGAGATTCCATTTTGCAGTGATAATAATTGAAATTTGTTAAAAGTCCACATCGCCTACCTCATATCATTTGGTATGGTTTAAATACATGTTAGGTACTCACATATTGCCAATTGGTTTTATGTTGGAACCTTAACATGGTATCGAGCAAAGCCTAACATCTTTCGGTTATTGTCATGGGCCAAAAGTTGCCCTTAGTTGGGTCAAGTATCCTTTGCCAGTCAGCGGCTTCGTTGGAGGTGTGTTAAAGTCCACATCGCCTACCTCATATCATTTGGTATGGTTTAAATACATGTTAGGCTACTCCACATATTGCCAATTGGTTTTATGTTGGAACCTTAACAAAATTAAATAGAAAACAAGGAACAACATAAACATAACTGAGAATATTAAACATAACTCAGGTGTCATGTTCGAGTAATCTATGATGGGAAAAGAGTGAAACAAGATAGATACCTAGGACACCATTATTTTTCATCTTTCCACAGTAAGGATTTGCTATGAGTGGTACTTATATTGCAATGATGAATAATGTTTTGTAAAACAGCAATTAATATGTGTGACCAAAATTTTCAAGTTTGCTAATTTAAATCAACATTTACTTTCATTATTAAAATAGTTATTCTACTTTTTTCTTATATTTTCTGATTAAAAATATGCAGATAAGTTCATCACATATATGATTTTATCTGTCAGTAAAAGTAATAAATAAATTATATATTACCTATGAAATTAAAAATTTCATTACCTTACTATTTCTTAACACAACATAATTATTATATTTGTTTTGTTATTTATTTATGTTACAAAATTATTTATTTTTTGGAAAAAAATTGAGGCTGGTATATATATTTGTACGTGATTACTTATAAATAACTCCTTTTCTAATTACTTTCTTTTTCTTTAGTTATTTTCATTAATTCAAAAAAAGAAAGAGTTTTTTCTCAAACACAGTTGAGATAATCATTCTAAAATTAACATGACCACCAAACCGAATGTTTGGATTCAAGTCACGTCACGCATAAATTATCATGAACCATGTTAATATTCACACGACACAATAATCAAATATAATTATTTTTTTTAAATTGCAAAATTTAAATTCATCTTATTAATTAGATAAATATTGATTGAGACAACAAGAGTGGTAATCTGATTTAAACCACCAAAAATTATTGCAAGCCCCGAGGGTAAGAGTTTATTTATGAAATCAAATCATAGTGAGCATTATAAACCGGAATATACCAAGCCATGATGATTGTCTTTGTTTTATCTACGTAACAGCATCATCCACTAGGAGTGATTTCTATTAATTACTGTTTTGTCTGGATTGTTAATTCTTTTCACTTGGTTGACATTCAATACAGCTGTTTTTCCATCGTTTACCTCTGGATTTTTTTATTCATTGACAATGTACATAAACATAGAGAGTACGGCAAGTTGCAAAAGTAGCAGAACTTTATGCTGCCATTGATGCTGATCTTCATCAGAATATCAACACTACTGTTGCATAATCCAGCTCTTCTTGTGCCACTGACATGACAATATTGTCCCCCATGGTAGCTAGATCTTGTAACCATTCAGACATCTATATTATTATGTCTTAATTTTTCGCTTAGATCATTATAGCCATCTTTTCCATACCTAAAACTGCACTTATTAAAGTCTTGAACACTCTGCAAAACCACGCTATCAAAAATACCTAACGCTTCCTGTTAAAGAAGTAACCGACCAAATTTTCTATATTTGTCATCACAAACCTTCAGCAGTGAATCGCATTTCAATTTCCAAGTGGCATATGAAGACTTCTCTCTTTGATTCTTTTCTGTTTTTGACTGCCTAATCTGATTGAAAACGTGTTGAACAATACTGGAAGTACTTGAAATTAATCAGTGGATACTCTTTGTGCTTAAAATCTATCAATGTGATGTGAATTGGATTGGAATACCTCTTGCATGTACTCTCAATACAATTTTTTTTCTTGACATTTAAGAGTGTCAATTTAGAGAAAAAATAATCATCAATCTTATGTCATTGGTTGGTACAGCGGAAGGTATTAGCTTAGTTAAAATAGATTATTTGATAAAAGTGTTAGAAAATTCAAGTGTGATTGTAAGTATGGGAATGATAAAGTTGAATAATATATTAAGATTTTTGGTTGAAAATAATATATGCTTTACCTGGGTTGGACTGCTGTCTTATTGGTATTCGTATGTTTCTTTTCTATAAATTTCTCTCAGAAAAATTCAATACATGCTATTAGAGTCTATCAGCTCTAGGTTAGAGTGGTCACTAGTGAACTATAAATAAGAAACTTAAATAATATATAAAAGTTTTAAAATCTTGTTATTGAAAATGGAGTAAATCATGTATTTCTCTACTATAAATCTCCACTAAAAATACCAAGATGAGAGAAGATGAGAGACGGTGAAAGAAAGAAATAAAAAGTTCCGTTCTTTTGATTTAGTTATAAAAAAAAATGTATATAGAATGGCACTTTATTTCGTCCGTTTGTCAGACACTCCAAAACTATTGAAGGGACTAATATATGTTGCATTATTTTCCATCTTTCGTGGATCTTTCATCCACTGTACCACAAAATATTTATCTTGTATGAATTACAAAGCCATCAATAATTCATCTGGTTTTCAACTTGTCTTGAGTGAGACTTTGAAAGACATGTTGGAAACAAGCTATAAAATGAAAGTAGAAACTTAAAGAAAGAAAGGAAAATGTTAAACATCACACAAAACCAGTAAAAAAAAAAAATACTAGACTGTAATCAAATTCTAACAAGCTATAAGTAGTCACTGGTATTAGTTTTTCAAAGAAAAAAAAAAAAAAAAAGAACTTGTAAGATCAGCATGTCTCTACCCGTCCTGCACCTACTAGTTTGTACGGGATAGGTTGATGGGTTAATACAACTCACTCATATTTCTTTTTAGGTTAACAGGATTAACATATATTGGCTTGCTCACTTTTTGTGCTTTTGCAATTCTAAATAATCAACAAAAGCATTACAATTGATCTTATGAGAATATATCACTGCATTTATCAATGGCAGTTCAAAGAGATATTCTGAGCTCTAAATCTAGTTCTTGAGAGTCACTTGATTCGGAGTTCTGACTGCTTGAGCCCTCAGAACAATTCCTGAGCTTCCTTGTATTTATGTCTTGGGGGTCCTAATAATGGAGGAAAAATAAATATAGTAAGATCATTTAGAATTTACTGATGAAATTTGTTGGCACAAACACATATTTTCTGCATGGAACATAAAGCGAGTAGCATTTTCAAAAAATTCCTTACATTTAGGTTTAGAAAGGGTCGAGTAATGTTGGATGGGGCAGAATACTGGCTCTCCAAGATAACGTTGGCAGTTTCCCATCTTGTTCTGAGAAAAAAAAAAATCACATATCAGAGACAAATCATCATAATACATGAGAAAAAAAATATATTCATCTTTTATAAACACACTCTTTCTGCTCTCATCAATGGCAGGAATCGGCCAATGCATAGGTGGAGAAGACTTAAGTACCTTGCTGTATTAGTTTGATGAGAATCTCCACATCTGATGTTTGTTTTCTGATATTCGGATATGCCCACCTGCACAAGCAAACAAATTTTGTCAAAATTTCAGGATTCTTCCAATCCAACCCACTCTCTTGTATGTATATAAATTATCACATACTTGAACATCTTATGATAAAAAATGATTTGAAAGAAAATACAAAACTAATTCAACGATGAATAATGATTTTGGTCCTTATTCAGGTATCAGAACTCAAAGATTCGTCTCTCATCGCCTAGGGTTAGTACCTGTAAGTTGTACTATATACCTTGATAGTACTTCAATTCAAAATCATCTAAATAAAGAGGACAGGTAGTTCAGAATTAAAATACTATAATGCCAAGTTTGTATCATATGGGTTATATATGATATAAAAAAACTAAAAGGTATATATAAAATTAACCATCTTGATGACTGCTTCGCATGCTATGCATTTATATATATACTGTGCACTTGCATAGATTGACATTTGAGCAATTGTTATTTATTAGTGAGAGAGGTGAAAAATATGTGCGGAACATGTCACCCGCATCACGAAAGAATGAAAGTTACAGTAGGCAAAATTATATCATTTAAAGTAAAAGTAAACCAGTTGGTTTTTAAGAAAAGCCAAAATTACACCTACCATGATGTTGGGCTGGAATCCATAGGAAGATGCATATGATGATGTAGGAGACGATGAGTAAGAAAAAGAAGATGATGGCACCGATGAATATGCCATTTGCACTCTCGGATCTTCCTGCGTGACAGACAAATCAAACTCCATTGAATTTAACGAATTCAAGAAAAAAAATTGTTTAATATACACGTTTGAGCAAAGGGTGTATTATAGAAGAAGAAAATAGAGGTTTACGTTGGTGAAATTAGAAGGGTAAGAGCCGTGGAGAGAAGGGTGATAAGAACAGGCCATTTGACTGTGTAATCTGATTTTCTCCAACTGAGCAACTCCAAGTCCTCTCTGTGGTTGCTTAGGTTTGTCTGAGTTGTTGTTCTTCTTCCCTTTTCTTGAAGAAGAAGCACTTGACCTTTCATTGCCAAAGTTTGGTTTTCCGAAATAACTGCTATCCATGCTTGCTGTTTCTTTTGATCTAAATGATGCTGTGCTAGAGAGAGAGAGAGAGAGAGAAAGAGGTTGGAAATGAAATGGAGAAGGAAGAAGTAAGTGGGTTTGGTATGAGTTGAAGAAAAGTTTTGTGGTTTGTGATGATGGGAAAGGAGAGATCTGAATGGTGCTTTTAAACTGCTTGCAGAGGATGAAGTATGTGTACTGCATCGCTGGACGAGATTGTGTATAGATTTCAATGTTTATATACGCATAAATATTTTCTCTTCCTCCTATCCTCTTGGCTCAAGATATTCTTCTTTTTCTCACATCTCTTTATTCTTTTTTATTATTGCTAATTAAATATTAATAATAATGATTACACATGCATTTATTAACTAATTCTTCTACCCATTTTTATACTGTATTTTCTGAGCGTCTTGCATTCAATATCTTAAATAAAGTCCAACAAAAATTGATTCAATAGTATAAAAACGAGTATAACTTGCACAATTATAGGTTCGAAGTAATTAATTATATTATTTTTTATTTTCTTATAGATAAACTTACTATTTTGATTATTTTATATATATTACTTAATTTTTTTCAACTCGATTTTTTTATAGTTAAAATGATTATAATAAAATATGTTGTCATTTTTTGTATTTTTTTAATTAGACACGATTATAAAACAAATCATAAATACACAATGTGATTCTTTTAAAATAATATAAAAAAGTGTAATATATAAAAATGCAATTGTTTCTGGTGGAATTTTGATCGATTTCGAAAGTAAGTCCTAATCGAAATTCTACCACGTAAGCTCTTTCTGACTTAGGCTAGCAATTTGATTTTCAATCGACAACGTGTATGAGAATCGACAATTACATGTATTGAAAACTCTGTTTTTGATATTTTTGTAATATAAAGTATCGAAAGCAGTAAAGACGTCAAATCGGAAAAGCGGAATCTTTAAAGTGCGAGACAATGTAAAGTGTTAAACCCATTAAGATTGCGTGAAAAGTAAATAACAGGAAATCGACACATGCGGAAATCGAAATGACATTGAATGTAAAATACAGAAACATGAAATTGCTGAATCGAAATTGCTCGAAAGTAAATTACCAAGGAAAATAAAGAAAGCGATAAATGTACTCCGTGAGCAAGGAAATCCAGACCGCCAGAAGCTTCATGGTGTTCGTCGTTTCTCCGGTAGACTTTTCACTACTGGTTCTGTGCTCTGCCAATTTCTGCTCCCCCTTCTTACTTCCTCCTTTTCTCTATTTATAGGGTATCCTTCAAGCCTTCCGAGAGCAGTTAACACGACTGCTACCATGTTCTACGTGCGTATGGCAGTTTTATCTTCTGTAGTTTCCCACGTTCTCACGATCTCCGACTTTTACCCATGATTTCATATGACTTAGTTTTTATTCGACAACAGTCATTTGATTATAATTCATTCGATTCTCGATTGTGTTTTCTCGATGCTATATGCTACGTATTTCTAATTAGACATCGAATGAACTTTTGTTTATCTTATCAAGTCATATTTCTTTCCTTCGATTTCGATCGCTTTTCTCGATTTGCCACTAACAAAATGCCCCCTTGGAAGAATATAAATGATTTCTGTTTTATATTCTTTCAATATTCCCGCCTTAGTGTTTGAAAGCCCACAGGATTTAGGGTTTAGGGTTTTTGGGGTTCTAGGGTAAAAAAGGGTTTTAGGTTTCTTTTCCACTTTACGTCGCCATCATATCAGTCTGCTACTTTCACAGTACGCTGCATTTATTACCTTTCACCTCCGTCGTTCTATCTCCCTATACGATTTCCCTTTAACCTCTCAACCTATCTTCACTTTGGCTTTACGCGAACTTTTATCTTCTTTTGCATTTTTGTCTTCTTCTCCGAGCTCCTGTCTTCGTCCCTGTTACCTTACCTATCAAACTCTTCCTTATTACTTCTCTAATCTTGCTATAATGACCTCTTCATCTAAGTCATCTGATTTCTCGGCTCCACCTCTTACCTCATCCACTGCTACCTTGCTGGAGATTAACAACCAGCAGTTTGCTCCTTTGCCTCTGATGGAGGAGGCCTCCAAAAAGATCGCTGAAACTCAGGTATTAGTTCCTTACACTGTTGGTGGGGTTGGTTTTGGTTTTGGGGGCCCCATTCTTTCTGGTAGTGGAACCGTTTCTCCTCTCACCCTCTCAAGCAGCCCTGCTCTCGTTCATCAGCCCGAAGTTAGGATCGATTTTTTGAATTTTGTTTCCAAGGTGTATAGGACAGGCCCTCCCTCCAAAAAATCTTTGTTCACTAGATGGTTTGATAGGGTCAAGGCTAAGTTCGGGAACCATTGGAGGAACGTGGGAATTTTTGATTTTCTACACTTGTCTCAATGTGACTTATCCTACCTCGACATGGCTATGTTCCTGGCTGCCGTGCACTTATGGAATAAAGAGATACATGCATTGGAATTACCTTGCGGCCCCCTCTCACTTACTCTTCTCGATATCGCAGCCATCACTGGGTTAAAACCTATAGGGGAGAGATACTTTCAGGGTGCATGTCCCTCGGATAATTCGTTGAAGTCTAAAATCGATTGGGAATCGAAGGCCTACGGGCATTTCATTGAGAAACATTTCGTTGATGATCCCTCAATAGATGTTACTGATGAAGAACATGTAGCGTTTTTGGTGTACTGGCTGTGCACCCATGTGTTTTGCCCCCGATCGATCCAAATTTCCCCCCATCTCTTCAACCTTGCGTATCTCCTTCACTTAGGTCAACCTCGCCTATGTTTGGCCAAGCTTTTGTTAAGCACATGTATATACCGCTTTCGACGAGGTCGTCGAAATCTTAAGTACTCCTAAGGCATCGGGGAATTTTTCTGGCCCCGTTTGGTTCATACAGCTATGGTTAACATCCATTTTTGAGAGTGTCCTTCCTCGATATTCTACTGTCCCCCTGAGTGTAAATATAGAAGGGGCTCGATTATCCTCCCGTCACCCTCGCTATAAATCCGACGAAGCCACATATTGTAAATACCTCCAATTTTTGTTAACCGGATTTGTTTTCGATTCAACCCTAGCCCCGTTTATCGTAAATTTTGAGCGAGTAAGTGACCAACTTAGGGGACCGATCTGGTTCAAGTCAAGATTTCCCGCCTCAACCCCTGGGTTACAATTAGAACTGGTCGATATATGGAGTGGCTACTTGACCCATGATGTACTAGTATCGGGTTTCCACCCTAGGGATTTCAAGTTCGTTACTTACTACCCTCAGCTTTTTTCCAGACAGTTTGGCCTGAGCCAGTCTTTACCCTTTTTCCCTTTAAATACCTTCCCCAAATCCAAATTGACTGAGTCGAACATCGGCGGAGAGCTTGTCAAATTTTTGCCAAGAACCTCGATGCATCTTTATCCATATGTATTTGAATCGAATTATTTATCGACTGTGGAATTTTCTCAATGGTGGACCAATTGGTTTTCGAGTAATCGTGCTGTTTTTGACGAGGTTCGACAGAAACTGACTGCTCGTCCTTCTCTTGTGTTGCAGGACAAGTCGAAAGGGAAGAAAGGTACATACTTCCACTGTCTCCAAATATCTCGATTCGAGAATTTTTATCAAATATGTTATACTCCACTAAAATTAGAATCGACCTTTTATGATGCTGTCATTTCTTTATCCCGAAAAACAGATACCAATAGATCGAACCACAAAATAATTAATCCCTTAGGAAAAACCCCTTTCGAAATGTATTGTCCTGCTCGCCTTCCCACTTTTCCTACAGCACCTTTTGGACTCGCAAAACCTTTAACTCATCCCAAATGGGTTCGAGAATTGAGAACCCTTAGAGAAACCCGTCGCCCAAAACCCAAAAACAAAGACATTTCTGTATCGAAATTGTTTTACTTTCCTTACCTTAACCTCCCTGAAGCTCTCCTGCCTCCTTGGCTAGTACATATTGATCGAGTCAAAATTTTGACTCCATCACCTTTTGGTGAGGTTTTATTGTTTTCTCTTAATTTTCGATTCTGTGTTTTGGAAACTGACTATCTTCATTCCTCGACAATTTCAAAATCTACTAAGGTAGTTGCCTTCGAGAAGGCACAAGAGGAAGGAAAGGACGCAAGCTGGGAGTCCCCAGATGAATCGGACCCTCTGGCCTTCACCAGGAAACGAAAACAGTCGGCCACCACCACTTCATCTTCGAAAAAATCGAAGGTTCTTTTTGATCTCTTTGTCTCATCCATTCTTCCGTTTATAACATGTTTCCCTATGGAGTCTCATTCCTCTTTTCGATTTCTTCCCTACGTAAAAATCGAAGAGTCCCCGATCGAGTCCAACCATCCACAAGCAGATCCATTGTCGATGGATTCGAACACCGTTCCTTCTACTGGGCCAAACAACACCCGTCACCCATTCCAGATCACGTGAGTTTCCTTTTCCTCTAACCTTCATGTCTTAGATTTTGTTAAGACTTGTATCATGACTTACATTTTCGATAAATTTTCTAGGATAATCCATCGATGACTCGTATCGACTATCGTCGAAACTCGCCTTCAGCCTTCAACGCCAGCTCCCGAGGTATAATTCTATTTTACTTGTGTATCTCTCTTTTGTCTTGCTTATATTTCCTTTTCTAACTCTCTGTTTCGATTTATAGCAATTTGAGGCTGTACAGAGTCCTCCTCGTGCCTCGACGCCGCTTGCTCTTCTTCCACCCGGTATTTTCCTTTTTTCTTTCATCATTTCGATTCTTTATTTTATCCTTTATATAACTCGACTTACCTTTTTAACTTGTTTTCTTTTTCAGCAATTATTCCCACTGGTCCAAATCCCGCACTCCCCATCTCCCACTACCACCGAACAAATGGGTTCTCACCCATTCTCAATGCCTGGGGTTGAACTCATCTCCCCAACGTTGCCTATGTTGACCGGGCCTATTTCTACCAATGTGCCGGAGTATCGAGCTGCCATCGAGGAAGACCCTTTCTCGATTCTCGATATTTTGGTATCGAGGGATGCCACTTCCTCAAGCCAGTCTTCTCAACCACCAATGACCTCTACTGAGGGAGTGTATCAACTCAAACAACGCTTCGTAACTTTTTTCTATTCCTCGCCTCCGGAGGTCTTAGTAGAATCCGTTGAAAAGAAGAAACTTTTTAAAGAGATTCTCGCATCGATGGAGACCTTCCCCGAAGAGGCTCTTCCAAAAGGCTTCGATGCGG